GAGCCCACTTTCCCACTCCCTCCAGCTGAGAATCTTAATCACGAGGACAACACTGGATTTTTGATGGGGGAGGATATGAGAATATCTGTCTTAAGAGCGAGTGCTACAATTCATGTTCTAAGCCTCAAGGACTACAAGGGCCTTCCACCAGAAATGAAGCAACTCAGGTTCTTTTCCCTAGTGTTTTTGCTCTCGTTTAACTTAAATCATAAAGACAAAATCATGACTTTTTTTTTTAACACCATGGAATGCATACATGAGCACATATGCGCCCACATACACGCTCACACAAACGTGAAGGAAAATGAGTTGTACAAATGAACGTATTGGCCATACCCCAGTACTGACTTCACACTTCCCTGAGAAGGAACAGACACATCCACTGACACCAGTAGCTTCCTTTCTTCAAGCCAAACTAACAAACTGAAAGCAAATAAACAAATATTTATCTGGAATGCACGAGAGTCAGCACCCTCAGCCAAATGTTATGTCAATGTCATCGGGCGTGAGAGAAAAAGGACAATGAACCCCTCATCCTGCCTCGAAAATGAAGACTAAAACGTGTCTGCTAACTCCGATGGCCTGCAAGAAAACTGAAGAAAGTGTGTGCTTGTCTTTCTCTCTATACTTGCATTTAGAGAGGAAGAAAAAAAAAATAGATCAAACGAGAGTGAATATGAAATGTTATGGAATGTGCACATTATGGGAAAAAAAACTATGCATCGATTATATTTTTTTTGCACCAAAACAAACTTGTACTGTAAATCCATTTTTCTACAAACTGTTTAAAGTCCGTCTAAGTGCCTGTCACCTACCCTCTATGAATTAAAATACATCCAGTCAAGATGTTAGTGTCTGCCTCTTGCAGTTACTACTTCAGACAGCGTTAATCAGAGCATCCAAAAACCTCATTTGAAATGGTGAGGTACTCCAGGACAGCACTGTGAATATTTCTTTCACAGAGTTTAATGTTTCGAACATAACAAACCATGAAAATGCTTTTAAAAATCCACATCAACACGTATCAAAATACAAAGACCCAAGCTATAAGAACGGAATTTCCAAGAACGCTTTAAAATAAAAACCAGGTTTTGCAAAGAGGTGCGCGTACTTGCATCCCTGAAATACTGCAGGTGTTGCTGCCCTCTGGTGCCGGATGTCCAAAGCAGGCTGCGTTCTGCCCAGGCGAGGACACCGTTACCGTGCTTGACAATGAAAACAGAAATCGGCTCTGAATTCCTGAATGACTTGCTATTGAACTGGGATCCGTGTTACCTATTTATGAAGATTTGACAGAACTGACAGGGGGCTGAGAGAGAAGACACATTGGGATAGGAAGAGGCAGATGAAGGGGAATGGCATCGGGAGACATCTGCAAATGCATTATTCAAATCAGGTCCCCGGCAAAATGGAGAGGAGCTGCGGGAACGGCTGGCTATCCTAGGTTCCTTAACAGACATAATACCACTCCCAAAATACATCAAAGGAGGGAAGAATAAAAAATGGGAGTGAGTGAGAGGTAAAAAGAGGAGAAAAGAAAACCGGCTGTTGCCATGCCGAGGCTACTTAGATTGGTTCCAATTTTACCATTTATCAGGTGATGAAAAATGAGAAAAGAAATATAAGGTATCACATGGTTCGGTTGAAAAAGGCAGGACTTTTTTTTAATGTTTTTCTAAGCAAAAATGCATCATGACTTTTGTGACAACCCAGTATAAACAAATAAGTGAAGACCAACTTCACACAACTACATGTGGGTCTGAAATGGAGAGTCATTTAACGTTCCATAAGCTGGAGATGTGTGACCTTCTTAGAAATGAGTTTTGTGGAATGTGCAAAATGCAGTCAGACCAACTTCCACCATCTGGAAGAAGTGTGTACCTTGAAAGGTTTACCTCGCTCTTGCCCTTAAATCCAAAGAAGTGACCTTGTGCCTCTGGCTGGGTAACCATTGTTTCGAGACCCTGCAATGAAGGTTGGTTCTGAGAGTCAGTACCGGCATCTCCCATTGGGAATGATGGGGCAGAGGCTCTGGGAGGCAGCACGTGTGAGCTGGCAACACGCACAAATGAATGGCGCTTCCACATTCCAGGTCAGGGTCACCGGAAATATGCCAGCACAAGTGGGAACTGGAGATGCAGAAGGAAGGGAGTTCTGCTCAGATCTCCTTAACTCCAAGCCAGGCTCATGGCTGCCCCAGAACTAGCCCTGCAGGGAGGCCAGATCCGGTGTGCTCGACGTGGAGTTTCTGTACCAATCACCACCCCACCTCTAGCTGGAAACCACACACTGGCCAAGTCCTTTTTGTTCTCTGGGTTTTCTAAAACCTGAGAGTTGTGTCAGGATGCTGAGCTCACTGGAAACCCTTAGCAGCTCATGAGGCTCTCCTGAGAGCTTGCTCTGAACAACTAAGATTTGAGAAGAAAAAGACTCTCTCTGCTGAGAGCACTCTGTGTAATTCAGGAAGACATGACAATATGCTAAGCACTTAACAGAAGTGAACAATCGCGCATGCCTACCACACTATCCTAGACAGGAATTTTATTTGTTAATATTATATAACCATTAAATCAATGATATAACCTATGCGGCATACTTCGTAGTTTTCCCATTGTAAAAAGAACAAAAATTTTCCCAAAATAAACATTTTTTTTAAAAAAATGTAAAGTTTCTATTTAAATATTTCTGTATTTTGAGACCTTCAGATGGCATAATGGTTACATCGCTGGACTCCCACGTAGTCGACAGCGGTTTGAATCCCAGACCCAGTGTTGAGCGTGTACGTGTGTGTCCAAAATCCCAGGAAGAGAATGGAGGAGAAGGGACTGAGGCGATCCCCCCTGGGGGGGGTTGATTTCTCACTTTCAATCTCTCTGTCTCTCTGGCAAGCACTGTGCCCTACAGCAACAGCTCTCAAAAATAATTATATATTTTTGATAAATGTCTTTAAAATCCTACACCTAAGAAAACAAAAATGCCATAGTAATTATTCTGGGCAAACTAGGCCTATTTTTGGAGTACTAATCTGGAGTTCAATTTTGTGGAAAGAATATTCCTACTCAGAGACACAGGAAGAGGACGTGGATGAACGCTAGCATGCCGCTAAAAGATTAGCAACCCCCAGGGACTAGCAATTGGCGTAATGGCTATGTTGCTGGACTCCCAGGTAGTCAATTTTGGTTGAAGTCCTGGACCTGGTGGCTTAAGCTCGTGCCAGGTGGGTGTGCAAGTGTGCTCCAATATCCCGAGAGGAGAATGGAGGAGAAGGAATTGCGGCATGGCCATCCCCCTGGAGGGTGATTTATAACTTTCTGTCTCTGGCGAGTGCATGCGCCCTATAGCAAAAATCTCTGTAAATAAATAAATTAATAAAAATGAAAGATTAGCAACCTCCAATAATTAGACTGCGTCCAAATTCTTTAAGTAAGGATAAAGAAGCCCAAAGGTCTTGAACCAGAATAGATTGGCTAGCAGTAGCCAAGAGTATCCCAAGGTCAGGGAAAACAGAGACACAGCCCCCCTTAATGCTCCAAACGTTATGGCTGTAGTTTTCTAATCAGCAGGCATAGCAGGGTGACCTGATGGCCACAGGCACACGGAAGTCCTCCACTCACTTCCGCACCACAGTTAGCATCACACGGTACCCTGGTACGGCCTCTGCAGTTTATAATCCCTTGCACTGTGCAGGGCCTGGACAAAACCATATCGGGGAATAAATCCACACAGGATGATTTTCTGGACAGTCTTATTTCATCCTCAAGAGAATCGTGTAAAGCAGGAAGGGCAGGAGCTGTGATTTCCATCCCACAGGTGAGGAAAGTGCCAGCAGAGATACCACGGCATCAGAGTCACTAATATCATCAGGCCTCAACCATCTGAAGCACTGGGAATACATTAACCAGCTCGATTCTAACAATATAGCAACAAAGGAGGTAGGAATAGTATCCGTACTGTACATATAGCAACACTAAGCACTAGTGTAACTATAATAAGCACCTATTAGGATTACTAACTGGCACTGGGATTGAACCTAGGCAGTTGACTCAAGAGTCCACACTCGGATCCACAACATCCTGCTTTGAGATTTCCCTGTCCAGTTGGATTGATGTCTTTCAGCCTTGGTCCCATAGCTAGTCAATGGCCAGGCCAAGGCCACTTCCCTGCCCCTCCAGGGCTGTCAATTATTATCTGCACAAACGAAGCCACTCTGGGTCATACAGCAAATCCACCCAGCTGACCAGGATGGGGATACATGGCGATGACAAATGTATTATAGGTACTGAGGTCAAGGAGACCACCTTCCCAAAGGCACGACAGGTCAAAGGGCTTCCGGGTAGAAGCATTGACCAGTTGAAAATGTCAAGTTCACTCACAATGACAAACTAACTACTGAAACACGTCTATGACGGGTACCACAGAGCCTCACTATGCAACGACAAATCGGCTACCAAACTACCAAATCAGAAGGGGACAACTTCTGATCTTAGGTTCTAAACTATTCTTCATTACCATTTCAGGTAAATCTCACAGTCAGGGCACCTTCAAGAGCTCTGTGGTTCTAGAAGTGGACAGACCTCCCGACGAAGAAAACACAACACAGCCTGTGTCATGTGAGTGTTCAAGACAGGAGAGCCTTTCCCAAAGGCAGTACAGCCTAAAGCCATGTGAATACAACCAATGTTTTAGCATCTAGGCAACTACATGTAAACACGTTTGCATGGAATGTAGGGTGTTTCACATGCCACATGATCCTTAATGCAAAGTGAGCATCATTTAGTTCTCCACAAACACATAAATGAGAATAAAAGACTGAATGTCCGCTGTACTCAAGATTTTGTCTGGCAAGAGAAAACTATCAGTGAAGCTTTCTGTAGAAAATGAATCAGCATGCAGAGCGATTTTCTTCCAAGCATCACCTCCAGTTTCAAAGTCTGAAACGTAATCAGCGCCACGATATGTTAACAAGACATATTAACCGAGAAATTTGGTGTCTGACTTACCTATCGGGTTTCTATCAAAGAACAATACCGGAGCTTTCAGAATTGACTCAAACATTTTGTTGTGCAAAGTTTGCGAAGAATTAACAAGGACGTAGAACACCAACAGGGATCTGGCTATGCCGAAAAGGACCGTAGCTACGGTTAAACCTGAAATAAAGAAACATCACTCAGAGAAAACGGGATCTCTGCAGTTTCTTCAGCAATGCTAAAGCAAATCGGGCAGTTCCTAAAACGTTTCTTATTTTATTCCAGAAAGCATCTGGATTCAACAAAAATATAAAGCATTTACAAGCTACACTGGCAAAGAAGAATGAAAATGATTTATATTTCTCCCATTAATTGGAAACCACGGGAAAAATAATAAGGGGAAAACTACAATTTTACTCTCAGCTTTCTTAATTCAATTCTAAGGTCTATTTAAAAGTCAGAAGAAAGACTATCATAAAAAGCTCATCTTCCCTTCTCCATATTCCACACATTATTATTTACGACATGATCCATTAGCTAACATTGCGGTATGTTTCGATACCGACACGTGATATTAACAGGGAACACAGGAGAAATGATTTACCTTTTCCTTGTCGAAAATGCCGAAGTAGCTTTAAAGAATTTGAAAACACCATATTAAGTTGCACATGAAAAAAACTCTCAAATGGATGATTTGCAAGAAAATATGTACTTTTAACATCAGAGAACTCGTCTAAATTAGCAAATACATCTCCCACTAAGTGTTTCTTGTAAACATAATAGCATTTTTAAATAAACATAAATTAAATGATATATTTATTAAAACATGAATGAGTACCCACTAGGCAAGAGTTTTCCTAACATCTCCGAATTCACAATAGTGACAGAGTGGGGATAAGCTCTATAATAAAAATTTCCCCTTCACACCAACACATCACCACTATCTAAGCTCTGAAAGCTGCTCAGATTCCTAAACACTATTAATAGGCATTTTTCTTTGCCCGCATCCTACTTGAATAAATAATAAAACTGCTTTCCATCCTCGTTGAGGTCTCACGTAGTCTACTAATTTGGAAGGTAAACAGCTAATGGATTTAGATTATTTAGCAAGTGATCAATGAAGGAAATGCCAAATTTCAATGAGCATGTTCTTACAAAGATAACTCACTCTATCTCCAAAGAAAGCTTGTCTGAGTGTTTCCTGTAGAAACATTTAAAATTTCAGATGCGGATTTCCTTTAAAAAGTATGCAATGCAACATGCATTCTAAGCCCTCTTGTGAACACAGACGCAGTGTTAATATTAGTCTGGCAGGCCAAATGTTAAATTAATCACACAGTTGGGGACGCGATAACATTGTGATCTCAAGGTAAGAAAGGAGGAGCCCTAATTCCCAGACACTGGATTTTTCCCTGCTTAGCATCCCTCTTAAGTAATTAGCGAAGCCCGAGAGATGAACAGTATGGTGAAGGGAGCTTTGCATACCTGTGAGGGACTAATGCTTTTATTTGGGGGGCCTGGCTGCCAGAGGATTTCATCCAAGTTCAATAAAAGCCAGGGTTTATTCAGACAGAATTGGAACAATCCAAACCACAGGGTGGGGATCCGTTTCTAATCCCCTTGCCCATCCATATAATGATATAAGATTTAGCTAAAGCAACCTATTAGAATAGACAATAGCCCCGTATTTCCAGTGGCTGATTTTCTGAATGCTCAATCCTGGTTTAACTTTCAAAATCCAGTACAGAGCAAATTAAGAGTCTTCATTCAACCTCTTTCTTCTAGTAGATTTTTAAAATAATTATTCTAATTAATTCACAGAGTAAATGCGACTCAGACTCCTAATCTGTTAAGACATTACTGAATTACTTCTGGAAGCCCTAGTTACTCATACAGACTCATTGTAAGCACCGCAGTCTTTCATATAATAGGCCGGATGATTAAACTTTACCTGAATAAATTCCTAAATACCAGCTAAGATCTAGCTTCTCGGTTGCATTTCCTTTCCCATTTACAGTGACATTCAGAGCACTTTGTTCATTTGCCCTATGGAAGAGGGGAGAGAGGGGGAAAAACCAGTAAGCTATAGATAGAATTTGGATAAATACAAAATGAACTTCCATTTGGGAGAAATGTTTTATGCTAGAAAATGATTCCCAGCTCCTACATAAAAATTCCATTTGAATCTTGACTTTCAGTTCTCAAGAGTGTCTATGAACAACTGCTGAGGCTCACACATGGGGTGAGAGACCATTGTGGTCACACTCCATCAGCAAGAAGTTCCATTTTTCTCCCGATAAACAAAGGGAGGGTTAGAGGAGAGGGGCCAAGAATGCCATCTCTCCCACTATCTGTGGGAAAGCGAGACTCTCATCACAGTGGTTGTATGGCAGTTCACATCAGACAAGAAATAACTCACCAGTACGAAAGCCACCAATCCTGAAGAACATAGGCAACCTATAAAAAGGGAGGAAAAATTAAACAGTGCCAAGACTTACCAACTGAGAATTCTCAATTACTAAAACTAGTCAAAGACTAAGGTGGATCTTAGAGCTCCATCTGTGCCACGCTCAACCTCCCGGAAAACAGGAGGTCAAAGAAATGCATTTTAAAACCATTAAAAGATACTCCCTTTTTTGTTTTCTGGGTGGGAGTAATGTATACCAACACCACTAAGAATCATTCATCGTGTTCCCAGTACATAGGGTATTTCAATACAGTGCAAAATGCAGTCATTAGAACATCAATAAGGCCACTAAGTGTCAACCCGAGGGTACAGAACAAAAATTTACCTGAGCTGCAGTGTTTAGCAGAATTAGGAAAATGATGACGAACCAATGAGCACCAGCTGTAAAGTAATTCCTGTAGGCCTTAAAACCAACTTTTCCTTCAGAACGGCTCTCCTCTGATTGTGTCACCTGTACATTCTCAGTCTGTGAAGATAGAGAGGGCAGTGAGAGACCGGACAGTACACCGAAATGTTTCAGAAGGTGGTATTACACTCCGTCGGCAAAGCCATGGGAAAACAGACACATCTCACGTGCTGCTGGTAAGGTGCAAAATAGCATATCTCCAATGGAGAAGGGTGTGGAAATATCTAACCACCTATACATGCACCCAGCCACACACCTCTAGGAGTCCACTAGAAAGGAGGAAGTATCATTTGTACACTGGTGTGGCTTTGCTTGAAGTATACCATCCTATTTCCACACATGCCTTCCATACCCCAATTCAAGTACAGAGGCAGAAGCTTGTTCCAAAATAATATACAAAACAACATGACACTAACGTGCATGCTAGATTATTTATATTACTCAGTAATATAACATAGAGCAGAATAGAGGGTCAAAATGGTAGTCAGATGGTAGTTAAGTAACTGAGTTTCAAACAGTGAGTTTGACTAATGAGAATCTGGAAGCAAGGAAGAGCACAAAATTCAAAACATCCTAAGATTCAGAAATTGATTTCTGACAGGGTGGACTATGAGAGACTAATGTAAGTATACTCACTCAGGCTTCCGGGTTTGGATAGTGAAGGTCAGATAACAAGGAATACCTCTACATATTTTTAAAAGAACACTAGTACATTTCTGCCTAAAGGACCTAGAATTAATTATATTGGGTTGTCAGAAAAGTCATGATGCATTTTTGCACATAAAAACATAAAAAACAATGCATGACTCTTCCCACAACCCAAAAGATTCACATGAGGTAAAGATGTACTTGGGTCCGTGCTGGCAACTGGGGAGTCAGAGATAAGTAAGACATGGTATCCAGTTTTTAAAGGTAAGAAAGGAAGTCAGAACTAAGTCGTAAGTGCCTAGTCTGTGCCAGGGATCATTTGGCCTTTGTACATGCTACTGCTGGCCTAACACACGTCACCTGACAAGAGATCAAAATCATACCATCAGATACGTGTATTGTCAGAACACTCCAACCTATGGGAAAAATGGCTGACAACAGCGCTGAGTCTAAAGGGTCTTCAGATTAAGCTTTCTAATGCAAAAGGACATACTGGGACCCACCTGAGCAAGTATAATTTCTCTAAATAAATTAGAGGTCCAAAATAACCCTACATACACCTCTGTACTTCTGTAATGGAGACCCATTACTGACCTCCATACTTCTGAGCCTGCACCCAATGAGTAACGGCACCAAGCATGCTCCCACCATCGTATTTTCATTCGACCAGTTCCACTGAATGAGGTTTAGACACACAGAATCTACTTTGAGACAAATGAAGATACCACAGGAAGACGGATGATCCTTGAGGCCGCTAACAGACAACAGTACATGTCACAACATGTCAGGAACTCACTTCCTGACCATCCGGGGCACCATCTTTCAAGGAGGGTCTAGAAGACTGTTGAGACCAAACTGAAGACTCCGAGAATGTACGATTCCTCAGCGTGGGGGTTCCTGGAACCGTAGGTTGTTCAGATTCCTCATTTTCCTTCTTTAAAAGGGAACCAAAATCTACCCCAGATTTCAGAAATTCAGTGTAAGTGCCCTTCTGCACCATCTCACCCTAAAATAAAAAGAAGAATTCAAGAGAAATACATTTGTATGTGATAATACTCATTTAACCGGATACTAATCAAGAAGCGTCAAGTGGCCTTGAATGATGATTTCTTTTTTTAAGAAAATCATCATCAGGACTGGAATTCTGGTTGTCAAATCTAGCACAATTAGACTCGACATGTAACTGAACATTCTGTTCTCTTCCAAACCCTGTGTTAGGTGATGGAGGATGTGAAAGAGGCATAATCATTTGTTAAAAATGACAGCCAGTGCCATAGTCACCGTGGGCATTGAGGAAGCAAAACACATAAATGTTGGTGGGAATTAGCACAGTATTTTTTTTTTAGATGTCTGTGCCTTAGGGCACAAGCACTTGCCAGAGAGTCAGAGACAGTGAGAAGAAGAGTAAGAAATCACCACACAGGGGAGATGGCCATGCCACAGTCCCATCTCTTTCATTCTCCTCCCAGGATCTTGAGGATATGCACACACACACCCCCAGCGTGAGTTTCAAGCTATCATGTCTAGGACTTGAACCACAGTTGGCTATGTGGAGTCCAGCAATGTAACCACCACCCCATCAACAGCCCCATATTTTAGGGTTTTTTTGTTTTGTTTTTTTTGTTTGTTTGTTTTTGTTTTTGTTTTTGTTTACGTTTTGCTATAGTGTGTGTGTGCTTACCTGGGGGAGAGGGGCAGCAAGAAGACAGCTATGCCATAATCCCTACTCCTCCATTCTCCTCTTGGAATTTCAACCACATACCCATGCCCAGTGTGCTTTTTAAGCATACCGGGTACAGGGCTTGAACCACACAGTCAGCAATGTGGGAACTAGCTGCATTAACCACCATACTACTGGCTAGCCCAGTAGTCTTTCTGGACAACATGGTTGCTATGGCTTGAATGTGTCCCTCAGAGTTCATACACTGGAAACTCCAATGCAGTTGTGTTGGGAGGTGGGGTCTAAAGGGGAGTGTTGAGGTCATGTGGGCTCCACCCTCATCAATGGATTCAGGCCAATTAAAAAGGCCTTAAGGCTATGAGTTCAATCCCTTGCCTCTTGCTGTTCTCCCTGCCTTCCACCATGGGATGATGGAGCACTAAGGTCAGTCTCAAATGCCAATGGCCCCTCAATCTTGGACTTCCCAGTCTCTGGAACTGTAAAAACCAAATCTCTGTTCTTTATAAATAAATATAATAAATCCAGTGTTAAGTATTCTAATACTACAGCACAAAACAATGAACACAGAGATAAGCCTTGTATAATGAGATAAAATTAAAAGAACACAGGAAATTGCAGAGGACTTTCCAAGATAGAAATCGTAGATAGATGGGGAAGTGGACAGAAGTGCATCTGCACAGGTATGAATCCCTACCAAGCCGCAGCTGGTCATGTGCCACTGGTCCTGCAGAGACAACACATGCAGGAACTAGCCTCGGACAGAGACCCCCTGCGCTGAGTCCTCACAGGCTTTACTCTAAGCTGCCCTGCAAACTCGAGAAGTTCTTAACTGAAAATTAAACCTTCCACGTGAACGGTTACGTAAAACAGTGTGCAGATGTTTCCACTATTTCTTCATCCATTAAACAAAACCCACCTGGTCTATGCAATAGTTATAATTTCGTGACTTTGAGGAAGGAAATTTACAAACTTTAGCATAACAAGGCTTAGAATACACTAGTGATTTATTTTTATTTTTATTTTTTTTTTTTGCTATAGGGGATATGTGCTCACTCAAGACACAGACAGAAAGAAAGAGCAAGTGAGAAAGCACTCTGGGGACAAGGCCACGCTTCAATCCCCTCTCCTTTTGAGGATTTTAAGCATCTACCCACATGTGCCTGGCATTTTTTTTTCAAGCCTCTGAATCCAGGACTCAAACTATAAAATCAGCTATGGACAATCCATACACCTCAACCTCCACACTACCTGCTGGCCCAATAGTGGCATTTCTACAAATCCTTTGAATTTGTCCCTAAAGGCATGAATTCCAGCTCAGAGAGAGGGACATGAAATTCCTGAAGAAGGGAGTTTCCCATGAAGCCCAAAGGGACTGTCCTTCCGGAAGATCCCTCTTCAACGTATCTGAGCACAAGTTCAGTAGACTTCTAGAAATTACTTACGTCTTTTAGTATCAGAATTTGACTTGCAGCTTTCAGATACTGCAACTGATGAGTCACTAAGATTGTGATCTTGTCGTGCAAGGTTTGGCAAATACACCTGTAAGGGTAAGAGGTACACTAAGACCAAACACATGACTGGGGTAGCGCCACACTGAAAAACATCTTCTTACGTCATAATGAGACAAACACACGCAGTGGCATTCAAAGATACGTAGCTTAAATACAAATATAAATCAATGAAGCACCTAGGTCCTCAAATTCTCTAGCAAACTTGAGCCCTGCTTTGCTAAGAAATTCTAAAAAGCAGTCCAGTGACTGCCAATAGTTTTTTTCACCAAAAACAAAGCATAACAATTACATATTTCACAGTGAAAAGACAACAGAACAGTGCCAAGATTCCAAACCTTGACAATTAAAATATTCTCTTATTGCCGGGTAGGACTGGGGTGGGGGGAGAGATCAATGTTATATAAAAACATGAATATTTTTCTAAGACAGTTTCCCAGGTGATTATTTATAATGATAACTCAAAAGTGAAAAAAGAAAATCTTAGCTTCTTGGTGAACTCTGCCAGAATATATTTTCTAGACTCTTCTCAAATAATAATAGAGCAGCTGCTACAATTGAATCCTTTAGTCTCCACCATCCTCTAAGTTCCACCTGGAAGCCAATCTCCCACTCTCCCTCCCTCCCTCCCTCTCTCTCTCCATCCTTTCCTTTTATAAAAAAATTTGCTACAGGGGCCAGCAATTTACATGGTGGTAAACGTACTGGATTCCCACATAGTCAACCATGGTTCAAGTCCCAGAACTGTTGCCCTGAAAATAAAAACAAGGGACCAACAGATGGTGTAACAGTTACATTGCTGGACTGCTACATGGCTGACCATGGTTCGAGTCCCAGACCTGTAGGCTTAAAATTCACACTGGGGACACGTGCATGTGTACACAAAATCCCAAGAGGAGAATCGAGGAGAAAGGACTGTGGCATGGACATCCTCCTGGGAAGGTGATTTCTTGATTTCTATCTCTCTGTCTCCCTCTGACTCTCCAGCAAGCACACATGCTCTATAGCAAAAATCTCTCATACATACAAACATAACTGTCAAAAAGAAAAATTGCTACAGGGTGTGTGTACTTGCCAGAGACTAAAGGTAGGGGTGGGGGGCTGAGAAAGATGTATGCCAACAGATGGGTTGGCCACACTGCCATCCATTCTCCTCTTGAGATTCGGGTACACACTCGGCATGTTTTTCAAGCTGCTGGGTCTGGGACTCAAACCACACAGTCACGTGGGATCCAGTTGCCTTAACCTCCACGCCACCTGCTGGCGTGCAAATCTTCTTGCATTAGGACCAAAAACTTCCAAGGACAAAAATGAAAGAACAGAATCAAAACAGTCTAAGTCTGAGTAGAAAGCTATTCAATGGCTCAAAGTTGAGATCTCTTCAATATTCAAACTTGTGCTGTTTATATGGTAACCCCTCAAAGTGCTCCTACATTGTAATACAGACATCAAGGAGTTTAGTCCAGTCTCCACCTCACATATTCTACCACCTCAGGGAGGGGCACTGCTTTGTACAGGGCTCAGGACCATGGCAGGGCTCCTGGCATGTACTCTGAGTCCTAAGCCCACGCAAAAAACAAATATTAGGCCTCTGCGAACCTCTGTCGCGTAACCTCAATTCCTTTTTTTTTTTTTTTTTTTGGAGAGATTTTCACTGTAGGGCGCGTGCGCTCGCCAGACAGACAGAGAGAGACATAGAGACAGAAAGCGAGAAATCACCCCCCAGGGGGGATGGTCACGCCGCAATCCCTTCTCCTCCATTCTCCTCTCGGGATCTTGGGCACGCACGCACACGCGCCCGGTGTGAGTTTTAAGCCACCGGGTCCGGGACACGAACCGCGGTCGACTACGTGGGAGTCCAGCGACATAGCCATTACGCTAACTGCTGGTTCCCGAACCTCAATTACTTTTCAACTCAAAAATAAAGTTTGTGTCCACTCACAGGAGTGTGCTGAACACAAGACAAGACCATGAATCTCTGGCAGGGAACTGACATGCCATTCATGTTACCTTTACCCCCTACTCTTCCCCTCCACCGACACCAGCCATTTGCTTTCAGAAATTCTGAGCTAAAAGTCCCAGGGACACTCTTGCGACCAGGCCTATGACGGGAACCAAGACTGTAGATTATGTACCATCATTCATGCTTTAAGTCCAAAAAGATTAACGCTTCCCATCTGACATGTCTTAGTTAGGCTTATTTCATACCTAAGTTTTCTGACCTACTAAAGCCCTATTTAGGCTTAGTACTAAATCTTTTAATGGGATTCTTCTTCCATAATTCAAAATCACCTGCTATCAATCTCCTTATATAAATATCTAAAGGGAAATGAGTAAAAATTTCCAATCTTCTCATAAATAGAAAAGAAGACCGATTGAGCAACGAGTCACTTCATTAGGAACCTACATAAGGACTCTGTGAAGAGCTGACGTACCGTGGCAGAAGTGACACAAAGAAGAAAAAGTCACTACCATCATTCATTCAGTTGACACTCGTTTGCTGAATACCTACCAAGTGCCAGGCACTGCACTAAGCATGGAGAATCCATCCACTAAGCAATGAACAACACCCTGTTCCATAAAGAGGAGACAAACAAGCCACACGAAGAAAAGGGACCACCTGGCTGAGCCATGAGCTATGAAGAAAAGGCAACTGCTAGCTTAGAGTGTCAGGAAAGGCCTCTCTGTGAGAACATGACATGTGAGGGAACCACTCCCAGAAGACCCAGCAGGTAGAGTGGCTCTGAGGCAGAACTATACTAGCAAAGGCACCTTCGTACACTCACAGTCTGTGGGGGAGGTAGGAGTTAAGGACAGACATTACGTCCCCTGGAGGAGCAGGAGGAGATGGCAGGCAGGAGGGATCTACATCCTTTATTTTCCTTCATGGCTCTCAGAAAGAAAGAACAACACCCTACAGACAGACACAGCACATGAAGAGCACCCCACCCAAGTCAGTGTGCTGGAAGGATCTAACGAGTTTGAGTGAGAAGAGCTGGAATGATAACTGGGGATCGCAGACAACCCTGCTTGCCATTCGATGACCTCAAACTATATCCTAAAGTCCAGGGGGGCCTGAAGGATTGAACAGGAAAGGTGAACAGTGTTGGGTCTATACGTTTGCATCCCCCCCCCCCAAATCTGTATATTGAAGCCTAATCACCAAAGTAGCGGGGGCCTTTCCATTGGAAAGGGGACCATCCTCATGAATGGGTGAGTGACCCTGTAAAAGGGTCTTGCCCTCCACCAAGGGAGGATGGAGCAACACGATGGCAGTCTAGGATCAAGACAGCGAGCCCTCAACAGACACTGAATCTACCAGCAAATTCATCCTGGATCTCTCAGATTCCAGGACTGTAAGAGATAAATTGCTGCTCTTTTTAAGTGACCCAGTTCATAGTATTTTATCACAGCAACCTGAATACCCTAAGACACCCAGGTACGCAACCGTGTGGGAAATCTGATTAGGACAGACCCAAGGAACTGATTAGGCAGGAAGCAGGGGCTGGAGAATTGGGGCTCCTAAATTACAGCAAAATTCAGGGTTTTCAGCAGATCAGACTGGCATCGGTTAATCTCTGTCTGTGAGAATCCACTAAATGGTAACAACATACTGTTGTAAAACTCGCAGACCTTAATAACCTTGGATATATATTCATGATTGAAGTAAAAGTGTTAATGGCAAACCGAAGTGTAATTCATTCACTTTTAATACAAAACACTTCACATTTCTAAGCTTCAACACAACCGCCATCTTTCGTAGCATATTGTTCAATCCAATTTTCTAACTCGTTGAGAACATTCTCCAGTTGCTGCTGAGTGATTTCCTAAATTGCATTCGTGCTCCCTGCCCTAAGTTTCCCCAAAGAATGTGGTTCTGATTAGCAAACAACAATTTTAACAAGCTTGCTTCTATCAAGTGTATATCCAAAGTCATTAAACCTTAAAGGTGCAAGAGGACTTTATAAATACCTCCAGTGTGAAAGAAAAACTTGAAGACACTTTTGTGAAATGCACACTGTCACTTATGGGTTAGAAAGCCTTCTGTCTTCCCTAGTGACCCTCCTGCAGGGTCCCACCAGGAATCCTTCCACGTGATGGTGAATTCATTGGGCCCCTGAGGCCACAAAAGGCCCTTCTTAGCCTAAGGGAGATTCTCAAGTCACATTCAAAAGCAAATGGGAAAATGCACACTTTTTTTTTCCTCCCTGGTTTTGCCATAGGGTGTGTGCACTCACCAGAGAGAGACAGGCAGAGGGAAAGTTCCAGATCAATCCCCAGGAAAGATGGCTATGCTGCAATCCCTTCTCCTCCATTCTCCTCCTGGGATTTTGGGCACACGTGTGCACATGCCCAGCATGATTTTTAAGCTGCTGGGTCTGGGACTCAAACTGTGGTCACCCCTGTGGAAGACCACCACCATGCCCACTGCTGGCCCCATCCTGCACACTTTTTAAATTGTGGTAAAATATGTATAACATAAAATTTACCATTTTGCCCAGTTTTAGGTGTCTAGTGCAGTGGTATTAAGTACACTCGCACCGATGTACAACCATCACCACCAGTCACCTCCAGAACACTTTTATTGCCCCAAATCAACATATCTTATAAGCGCACACAGGGAGAGCAATGGTCAGTGACCAGCCTATAGTCCCCACACAGGCTTAGTGGGTGATCTCGTGTCCCAGGGTCCAGGTCACAGAGACATGTTTCTCTCACACTGCTGCTTCGGCTCCAACTATTACGGGCTGAACTCTGTTCTCTCAAAATGAAGATGTCGAGGCCCTAAGCCCCAGTATATTAGAATTTGGAGGTAGGACCCTAAAAGAGGTAATTCAATAGAAATGAGGCCGAGAGGATGGGCCCTACCCCAGTCTCATAAGAAGAGGCTACCTAGGGAGCAGCAGATGAAATAATGCTTATGTTGCTGGACTCCCATGAAGTTGAACATGGTTCAAGTCCCAAACCCACTGTCTTAAAACACACTAGGCATGTGTGCATGCATGCCTGAGATCCTAAGAGGAGAATGGGGAGAGGATAGCGGCATGGCCACCGCCCTGAGGCGTGATTTCTCACTTTCTCTCTGTGTCTCTCTGTCTCTCCAACAACCACATGCATCTTGTAGCAAAAAATCTCTCTTTAAAAAAAAAATGAGGTTATCTGGGCACGAACACAAAGGGAGGAAAGATGACAAGAGGACACAATGAGAAAGCAGTTAGCGAGTCAGCAAGAGAGGCCATAGAAACAAAAGGATCAACTTGCTGGTAGATGAAAGTAAAGGATCAAAATGCTAACACCTTGATCTTGGACTTCCAGCCTCCAGAACTGTAATAAATGAATGTGTGTAGTTTAAGCCACCCAAGCTGGAGCTGAGTGTTACAATAGCAGAACTTTAGGGAGCCTTTCCAAATACCTTTCTCTCTATTTCCTTGGCATGAATGAGGAAGGCTTCCTCTCTTGCTGTTCTCTCACATGTATGTTTGTTCCTCTCTCTAAACTTCTGCCACTACTATTAATATTCCTTTTACGAAAAGGAGCTGAATTCTATTCTCAGCCTCCACAGACATTTCTAAGCCTGCAGGGTCACAGGCTACTACCCACCCAGCCCCTTTCAGCCCAGAGGGAGCTTTCTCATCTCAGCTGAATGCCTATAGCTACCCACTTATACCGATGCACTTCAGTGTACGATGAGGTCACATCCCATCCTAATTTGAGAATGTTAGGTTGAAAATGAACTTAATACACTAAACCTACAGGATGAACACTATGGTTTAGCATCGTACATCTTATATGTGTTCAGAACATGTACATTTGCCTAGACTAGGCCAGTATTATCTAAAATGCTGATTTTGTAATCAAGTATTGAGATATAATTTATTGATTACTGTACTGTAAGTGGGAAAACAGAGTGCAATCTTTATTATTTAAAGCCAAAGTTGTCCTCAGTTTTTTAAAAAACCTAAACCAAATGGCAGCCTGTATCACCGTAAAGTTGAAATATTGTGAGTCGAACTATTCTAAGTCAGGAATTGTCTCTATTTCCATCTAGCATCGGTCATCCTATACAGAAAACTCCTGAAGATTTCATTACATTGAAGTCTCCCCATATGTTTGTCTTGATAAATTCTGTGTAGAGACAAATTCCTGAAGGACAAGGATTAAGTTAGTCTCCCCCATGCTATCCAGTATGAGTCCTTAACTTCTCTGTGGCTTGCTGTCCTCCTTTGCAAACTAAGAGGTTTTGCACAGAAACACCTGTAAGAGCAACTACCTCGGTGTGGGCAGTTAACGGGCTCCCTGGCCCATACAACCTGGACAACAGGACAACAGAAAACAAATTCCAGAAACAGATACACACCAGATTCTAGATATCTAATTGCTTTTTTCAATTTTGTTTTTAATTTCTTATTTACATTGAATGACATACAATAGAGATGTCAAAGCACACATGGGGTGTGTCATAATCAAATCAAGGACGATACTACATACATCATTTTTAATAAACAAAGGTATATTTTTGTGTCCATTAAGTGCTTTTCCCTGAGCCCCTCCCACCCCCCCCCCACAAGTC